GATGTATTAGAAAATCATAGAACTTACATTACACCCACATTGTGCCTCAAATTAATACAAATTAGTGCAAGTAAAATAACCAACAATTTTTTTTATATACTTCCTCGTCTCATAATAATTTCCGTATTTAATAAAAATATTATGTTAACTTTTTAGTATAGTATTAATTACCAATTTTTTGATTTATACCCTTAATACTATTATGTAGGAAGTAATTTTTGTATATTGAACCGCTTTTAATAAAAAAAATTAATCATATAATTAATTTTGTAAAATTATTATTATCTTTTATTTATTTATTTGTTTTTTTTAACCTATACAAAATAACATAGAACGATATTATTATGAGATACAAAAGTATACTTAAATTTTTCAATTAATATTATTTATACAATCAGCTTGGTCAACAACAAAGGGATCTAAGTCGCGGTTGATTAAACATATTGTGTTAGTTGTTGTAAACTTTGGTATTGAATTTGATTCGAATGTATAAAATAAATATGAGCTATTTTTTTATTTATAAAAAATATGTTATTAGCTTAAAATATCTATCAATTTCGTTAACAATTAATTTTTATTGGAAAACTTATTAACTGCTTTTAGTATTAGTAATATATCCCCAACCAAGTTTTTTTTTTCATTCTACATGGGTTTTAGAGTTACATTAGCATGAAACTTTATATTTATAGATCTTAGTTTTTAAAATATAAAATTAGGTAAAACGTAATATTAATATTAACTAGAGAAAATTTATACAACTCTTTTCTAGCTATAACTATTTTTACAAATTGATATATATTATATGCATGAATAGAAAAAGAAAAGTACGAGATTATTAAGTGACGTGATGATAAAAATAAACGCAAATATAGAAAGAAAAAAATATATATATATAGATATATAAAAGTGTGAATAAAAGTAATATGACCCATGTTATACATGTATATATATTAGGGAGCTGCTATGATACCCATGAAAATTGAAGAGTTTTGGTACATTAAATTATGTGAACAAATAAATTATAAAAAATAAATTCAGAATTACATAAATTCTAGACTAAAAATTTGTATAAGATGAATCAATCAAAAAGACTAATTCAAAAAAAAAATAATCAAAAGGTCAATTTTCATAATAAATTTTGTTTATATGTGATAAAATTAAAAATAAAAAATAAAAAACTATAATAATATTTTAAAAACATTAAAATAAAAAAAACAAATAATACAACGAAAAACCTAATTTATACTATAAATTCAAAAAAATTATCATCAAAGAAAAATTAAAACATATTAACAAAATATTAATATAAAACTTTTTAATTATAATAGATGCTACATTAAGATATAAATTAAAAAATATAAAAATAATATAAAAATATAAAAAATTATACAGATAAATTATTAAAATATTAAATTAAAATAAAAATAAAAAGAGTAATTATAATAAAAAGAAATAAAAATAAAATGACTGTTCCAGTACCCCACAATTATAGTGGGTACTGTACAATTTCTCTGTATATTAATTGGGCAAAGTCAGTTTGATAACTGGTATGAGAAAACCTTAATCGGGAAGGAAAATAATTATTCCACGGCTAAGAGAACGTTTATATCCATTCATTCATAGAATCATAACATATGAAAATGATAGAATGAAAGAAAAGAGAGAAAAAGAGGTGGAAATTAATTACGTATATGATTCAAGTCATTCAAGTATTACATTTGCCATGATTAAGCAAGCAAAACCGCGTTTATCACCCGTGACATTATATTTCTATATATGCATGCATGATTAATTATGAATGTATGACATTGTCAACGTACGTCAACAATTTTCTTCGTGATATGCATGCTTACGTGTGCTTTTGTGTCTCTTTGAGTTTGCACAATGCATGCATGGTCGCTGAAGCCTTGAAGGGAACTGTGCATAAAATTAAAATATGATTTAATGATGCAAGAAGAGAGGGATGAAAAAACTAATTTGTTATTAGGTTAATTAATAACGAAGCGTTCGAAATATATATGAAAGTGTTTACATATTATTATTATTATTATTATAGCGTCTTATAATATTGATATTGTATTCGTCTATTCGGATTATATAAGCGCTGATCTACATAGATCCTAAGTGGCTCCATCGAACCTGCGGCGTTTATATAAATTAATAAACAAAATTCAAACTTTCTGAAAATTCTATATATTTGACTTTAGATTCTGCATCTGATTGACGTAAACCCCGTTCTCATCAATTTATGGTAACTATTTTTTAATTTCATTTTCACTAAAATAAATAATCAGCTAGATAGCAATGACTGACCAAGGTATTTCCTTCTAGAATTTCAATGCTCAAATAATCAAACAAATAATGAATTCAACTTAATATTTTATATATTTAAGTTATTAAATTTATATATATATATATATAGGTAGCATATCAAATGAGAGAAAATTTATTATGAGAGATGAGAGAGTTAAAATAATTAATCAAGTGAGAAAATTTGAGGTTTAATCAAGTAAGAGGAAATTAATCTAAAGGTTATATTTTACAATTTGGATCCTCTCCTGCAATATTCTCTCTCCAGCCTCTCTCCTGCAATATTAATAGTCATTAGATATATCTAATGACTATTAATGTTACAGGAGGGATGCTGGAGAGAGAATATTGCAGGAGAGAATCCAAATTCAACTTTCTCATCTCTCATAATAAATTCTCTCTCACTTGATATGCTCTCTCTCTCTATATATATATATATAGATCTTAAAATTACTGGGTCAAGTGAAAAGTTAAAATAATACATACAAGATTTTATATTCTAACTTCGTTGTAAACATTGTTGTCATTGTAATTATTCTAATCAAAAAAATATATCTAATCAAATAAGAAGATATGTAAGATTATGCAACATAATTTACATGTAAGATGAAATTATCTTGAAACAGCGGTGGATATTCCAGGAACGAACAAAAAAAAAATTATCTCGAAACACTCGGTAAGTTCATATCTCAGGTATAGTGTAGATTATTTTAGAAAATAAGTAAGATTTAAGTATTTTTTTACTCCAAGATTTAAGTTTTTATTTAAACTTATTTAGTTAAATGAGATTCTAAATTATTGAAAAAGCTCTATAAATATAAAAGATTGACCTATTTAAATAAAATAACAACTATTTATTATTATATTAAATTTTTTATAATATATTAAAATCACATATTTTTTAAATGTTTAACATGTTAACTTTCATAAAAGATGAAGTTTATAAATTTATTATAAAACTTAATTTTATATCTTATTTAGAGGTGTTGTTGAAAAATGTGATTTTAAATATTTCATCCTCATAAATATTATATTAAATTTTATAAAAAGAAAATTAGAGCATATAAATTAGATTTTAGATTTATTGTAATCATTAAGTCATAAGTTAAGATAAACGTCATAAGTTAAGATAGACGCATGAGGACTAATAAATAAGTTTGATTCCATTATGATTATTGTAATATTTTTTATTAATAAAAATTTAACATATATATTTCCACTTCAATCTTGATATTAAGCCAATAATCAAAGCCTCGTAAGTGAGACTAGAATTCAAGAAAGTATATTTTACAAGATTATAGAAAATTTTACAAGTATTATTTTTTAAAAATTATGTTTTATTTAACAATAGATTTTTTAATATAAATTGATTCTTTTGAAAAAAATTCAATGTTTAATAAACATATATTAGGTATAACAATTAAAACTATATAAGAAAACTATCGGATTATTTAAATATTTATACAGATAAAGTACTATTAAAACATCAATTAAAACTAATTTAATACTTGTATTTAATTTAATTTTGCTTATATATTATTTGATTATTTTGAAATATATTAGTTTATGAACATAATAATTAAAATAACAATGTTTAAATATATAATTAAATTTCATGTATTTCATAATGAGTTTTTAAAATAATAATTTTTGTAAAATACAATATTTTTGAATTTATTAAGGAGAGAGAGTGTGCATTTTAACATAAATAAAAGAAAATAATATAATACTTGTATCATTTAGTAGTAGAAGTGTAAAAAAATATTATAACAATTTAAAAAAAAGCTTAATTTTTTTATTATATTAAAATTATTTATATTTTTAAACATAAAAAAATAGTTCTGTTACTTCTGTATAATATCTGTACTTCTAAATTGAAGAGTATAACCTACGGTAAATTTTATAGTAAAAATAATTTTTAATTAAAAGAAAGTTCCATAGACAAGAAGCTTTTCCGCTTTTCTTGCGGCTCAATAAATAATTAAATAATGAAGTTGAGTCAATGAAAGTACATTTGGTGTTTTGGATTGAAAAATAAAAGGTATCCATTATGAAATTGTTATTTCACACGAGATCTTGTTTATCGTCTTTTTTTAGTATCCTGCTTATCGTATTTGTGTTATTAATCCTGGTTATCGTCATGTCTTTGAAGTTTTTTTTTTATTACTTATGAATATAAAACAAAAAAAACTCCATTAAAAACATTTAATTAAGAAAGTATTTTTAGGAAAAATTATTCTTTTATGTTTAACGTTATTAAAAAAAACTAGTAATAAAAATAAAAATAATAAAAAATCCTTTTGTATATTAACAATAAAAGGTATTAATCTAATGAAAAGTTGATAAAATATAAATATATGATAAAAAGAAAATCATATGACTATTTCCACTTTTCTTGCGGCTTAATAATGATATTTGGTCAATGAAAGTCATTTGGACTGAAAATGGTGCGCGTCATGAAAAATTTATTTCACACGAACTGGATTATCCTGTTCGTAGGTTTTCAGAACTTGCCTACAATTTTCCGTTTTTTAAAATATTTTCCGAATTTGAGGTCAAAATGTCAAATGTATTCTCCAGCACCAGGTTTCCAACACGTGTGTAATTTTACACTACACACGAAACCAAGCATATATGCTTACGATACCTTTTTGAAGAAACGAACCAGTCCTCAAAGTCAAATCCCCACATTCAAATTTCATGAAAAAGCAACGGCGTCGTTTGCTGTGCACGTAACTGTCTATATATATCCCTTCACCTGCCCTCCCAATCTGCACCTGAAAAACGAAAACAATTTTTTGTTAAACTCCAAAAGCAACGTAAACTATAAACTACTGACTACACATTCAAAACACCACCGTCTGCCGCAAAAAGATGAGAATCTTTTCCTCCAAAACGCCGTCGTTTGCCTTTTACCGCAACACTTCGCCACCGAGTTCAACCGCAGCGCCTTCAACCAGCAGGAGCAACGACGTGGACATCGACATGGACGAAGTGGAAGCCCTGATACTGAAATGGAACCCCGAAACGTCGGTCTACAGCAGCGTCACCTCTCTTTTCTTCAACGACAAAACGGAGGCCATGCAATACATCCACAGCGTGAACCAGCTCCAAAAACTCATGCACTCCTTGCACAAACAAAACCCTTCCTCACCCAAACTCATCCTCGCGCAAAGCCTAATGCAAATCGCCATGAAGAGGCTCCAGAAAGAGTTCTACCAGATCCTCTCCATGAACCGGGCCCACCTCGACCCCGACTCCGTCTCCACCAGATCCTCCACCTCCAGAACCTCTTTCTGTTCCGACAGCTACGACGACGCCTCAGTAGAAGACGATGTGCGCCACTCAGGGGATACCATCTCCGAAGTCGAACGCGTCTCTTCCGAGGCCATGGCGGATCTCAAATCTATCGCTGATTGCATGGTTTCAAACGGTTACACCAGGGAATGCGTCCGCGTTTACACCACCATGAGAAAATCCATCGTAGACGAAGGCATTTATCGCCTCAGCGTCGAGGAATGGACCTCCTCCAAGGTCAACAAGCTGGCCTGGGATGTGCTCGACTTCAAAATCAAGAGTTGGTTGGAGGCGGTTAAGATCGCCGTCAGGGCGCTCTTCGCCGGGGGGAGGG